CAGCCTATTCCAGTGGCTGACAACCCTTTCCGAGAAGAAATACTTCCTAACATCCAACCTGAATCTCCCCTGACTAAGCTTATGCCCATTTCCTCTTGTTCTATCACCCGTCACTAATGGAAAGAGCCCTTCCCCTACCTCCCCACCATCTTTTCTCAAGTATTTATAGGCCGTAATCAGGTCTCCCCTCAGCCTCCTCTTTTCCAGGCTAAACAGCCCCAACTCCCTCAGCCGCTCCTCATAAGTTTTATTTTCCAGGCCCTTGACCAGTTTAGTCGCCCTTCTTTGGACTCGCTCCAGGAGCTCAATATCTCTCTTAAAGCGAGGGGCCCAAAACTGGAAACTTACACACAAAAGCCCATCAGGCAGCTCCAAGGGCAAAGACAACCACTAGTAGAAAGTGCTCATTGATTCCCCCGTTGCCCCTAAAATACCTGAGGAAGAGCAGGATGGGGAGGAAAGTGCTTCTCTTTTGCCCTAAAAATGATAGTGATTGTAACAATGGCAGCACAAGCTGGGCTGAAAGATAAAACATCAACAGCTGTGTAATAACCCACCCCGACAACTGTGAATTTAGTTCACTTGAGCAAGAGGCTTGTGATTCCCTTGCGAAAGGGCAATGGCTTGCAGCCTGTATGGAAATGCCAGCAGTAGAGGACGGGTGGCAGCGACCAAAGCATCACCTCGTCCCCATCAGCCTGCCCCGCTTGGCTTTCTGCATCCTCCTTTTGCTGTCTGTCCCTGTACCACTCTCTCCCTCTTCTCTGCCAGCGCTGGGCAGCCTGGGGGCATGGGGAGCAGCTGCCCTGGCGCTCCCAGGGAGGAGGAGGCCTGGTAGGGCCAGCCTGTGGCCCTGCCAGGAGGCTGCGAACCGTCCCTGTGGTGGCCATTGCCTGCCCTCTCCGTCCCCAGCACCGCACACGGCAGCCCTTCCCCCTTCCTCAGTGGCAGAAAATGAACTGGGTCGGTGGCAGCCGGTGAGTGAAACTTTCCAAAGGCTGCCAGAAATGGCTCCATGCTGAGCCAGTGTTTCCCTCACAGACCGGGAACAGCCATGGGGTGTGTGTGACAGCTCTAGTGTTCCCTCACAGACCCGTCACAGCCATGGTGCATGAGAGAGCCCCAGTGCCCCCTCACAGAGTGGGCACAGCCATGGTGTGTGTGACAGCCCCGCTGTCCCCTCACAGACCAGGCACAGCCATGGTGTGTGACAGCACTGCTGTCCCCTCACAGACAGGGCACAGCCATGACGTGTGACAGCCCCCGTGTCTCTTCCCAGACCAGCAGGGCCATGGTGTGTGTGACAGCCCTGGTGTGCCCCCACAGAACTCCCCTGAAGCAGACCCTGAGGAGACGCGGGTGCCCTCCCACACCAGGCAGGGTGGGTTATGTCTGGGCTGGTATCTCTCCACAGACTGGGGCCGGGAGAGGCTCTCCTGCCTGGGCCTTTTCTCATGCCCTCACGAATGGCAGTGATAACCGTTTGGAGAAAAAGATGTATCATTATTGAGATTCACTAAAATAGCAAAATAAACACCAACGAGTTGTGACATCAAAAAAAGGGGTAATACTCAGTTTCTTTAGGTGCTGGGCCATGTGCCTATCTACCAGAATTTAAACCCCACAGATTGTGTCAGCCGTTTGAAAGCAGCTTTGCTAAACACAGCTTTATAATCCTCCTGACTCTATGCAGAATCAAATTAAAATAATGCCTTACCCACCTGGAAGTCTTCCCAGCAAAAAGAAGTTTCTGAAAGTTGCTTATGTGAAGTGGGGGAAAGGAGAGCATCAGTTCGAAAAAAAAACAAAACCAACCCCAACTTTGTCCTAAATGCCTGTCTATCATTTCTGTCTGTAAGAAAAAGCAGCATGTAGGAATATCGCACCCACTTAGCAAATAGCAAATCACCCTGCTGCTTTCTGCTGCTGTTAATTGTCTGTCAGGATTCCTCAGGTGAGTCTGAGATTTGCATTTTCGTTGTCAGAAAAACTATCCATTACTGAGGCTTCTACCCACTGCAAGGGTAAATGCTATGTGCATATGTTTAGAAAGTGTCTTCTAACTTTAAAGACAAATAAAAAAACCCCAAAAATATGTAATTCCAAGGGGATACTCTGTATTTCTAAGAATCAAAAAAAAGTATTAATCTTAGTGACCCAAGGACTGCAGCCATGCTCACCCTGCTCTCAGAAGTGACCCAGAGCTCTGATTTTATGTCCTGTAGGCAACTCATTTAAAATTATGCTTAACAAACGAGATATGTAGTTTAAGGTATAACTGTCTCACATATTGCACAAGCAACAGCAGCTCGGTAAGACTTCTAGTGACTATTTTTCTCACCTTTTTTAAAAAATGTTCACAATATCCTGTAAAGTCCCAAAAGGTAGAAACTTACACTGTGCTTCTTTGATTTCTTTGCTGATATGGTTTTGTAACTATGTTGCAGCATGACAAAGATAATTAGGAGAAACTAGAAGATTTCTTATAACGTTTTAAGAAATTAAGAATTGATGAAATGTTGCATTACAGGTCAAATGACTAAAAGCTTTTCCTTCTGAATGTTAAATGTATTTGGTAGCCCTAAGGTAGAATGTCGTCCTATCCTTACCTGAGTAAACGAGGATCAAAATAGCTTCAACAGAGATATGTTGACTTTATTACCTGAAGGTTTGATCCATTGTAACAAACATAACATAACATAACGTAATGTAACATGACATATTTGTGTCCTAAGTTCTCAATACTATTGATGAGAAATTCAAGCCATGACTCAAGATTATACTCTTACAATTAAAATAATAATTATTTGCATCTTTCAGGAGCAGAATCATATTAAAGCAGGAAAGGAGAAAGCAAAAGGTAAACAGTTCTAGCCATCTTGGATTTTATATTATTATATAAATGCTTTAGTTGATTCATTTAGGACAAACTTTCAAAACATTTGGAGTAGGACTCAAAACTGTAGCGTGACACATGTAATGTGTTTGCCTGGCGGAATGTAACTTTCAGGGCAGGAGTCTTGTTCAAGGTTTACCACACGGAATTCCAGCAGGAAAATGAGAGAGTAGAAAAAGGCGTGAATGAATGAATGAATGTACCCAATTTAAGTTTTACTGAATTACTTCTGTACTATATTTTGTTGGTATGTGCTGACACATGGGATTGCTTGAAGCCTCACAGTGACAACCATGTGATCAGCTAGCCTGAAACACATATACACAGCTATTTTTCTCGGCTACATAAAAGAATGTTAGGCTCATTGAAGTACTTTATTCTGGCATTTGTGAAAGTAGGGCAGCTTATTTGTGTTTTGAATCTGAAAGTGAAATAATAGAATCAAATTTATCGCTGGCATAGCAGAAGACATTTCAAACAGGAAAGAGAAAGAAAACAGAAAGAGAAGATAGTTATAACCATGGAGAAGTCAGTTTACTCCTCAGCAGCTGGGAAAAAAGAGACAGTATAGGGAAGGTCCACCACTGAAGCTAGTATCCCCCAATGCCCAGAGCAGATGCACTGGAGGAAAACCAGGCTGACAGTATGGAGGCAGTCTCTGAAATGAAAACCTTTACTCATGGGAATGTGGAAGCAACCAGCAGCTTGTTGCTTCCATTGCTTTCCCAGTCTTATGAAGGCCTGTGAGTTCTCAAAATACCTGTTCTCTCAGGGATTTATTGGTCTAAGCCACATAATTTACATTACAATTATGTAATTTACTTCAGTGGAGGAGGGAAAATAGGAAAGGATCCAAGACAGGATTGTGTTTAGTAATTCAGTACTAAATTACTAAACACAGTGGTAAATTTGTAATTGCTATTACACAATTAATAGTAATTTAGAGGTGATGGGAAGAAAATACTTTGGATGTCGAAGGGACATATATATGTTCTGGGAGTGTGGACCCCAAAGCAATATGAATTTTGAAGTGTTAATTTGTACACAGGCTGAATTTACCTTACTGCAGATATATGGAGGAACCAACAAGGAGAGGTGCTATGCTGGACCTCATTCTCACCAACAAGGACAGGCTGGTGGGGAATGTGAAGCTCAAGGGCAGCCTTTGCTGCAGTGACCATGAAACGGTAGAGTTCAAGATCCTTAGGGCTGCGAGGAGGGAGCACAGCAAGCTCACTACCCTGGACTTCAAGAGAACAGACTTTGGCCTCTTCAGGGTTCTACTTGGTAGAGTACCATGAAATACAGCCCTGGAGGGAAGAGGAGCTCAAGAAAGCTGGTTAATATTCAAAGATCACCTCTCCAAGCTCAGGAGCGGTGCATCCCAAAAAAGAGAAAGTCAGGTAGGAACACCAGGAGGCCTACTTGGATGAACAAGGAGCTCCTGAACAAATTCAAGCACAAAAAGAAAGCCTACAGAGGGTAGAAGCAGGGGCAGGTAGCCTCAGAGGAATACAGAGAAATTATCCAAGCAGCCAGGGATCAGGTTAGGAAAGCTAAAGCCCTGATAGAGTTAAATCTGGCCAGGGACATGAAGGGCAACAAGAAAAACTTCTGTAGGTACATTGGTGATAAAAGGAGGACTAGGGAAAATTTGGACCCTCTCCAGAAGGAAATGGGAGACCTGGCTACCTGAGATATGCAGAAGGCTGAGGTGTTCATTGACTGTTTTGCCTCAGTCTTCACAGGCAAGTGGCCCAAGTCACAGAAGGCAAAGGCAGGGACTGGGAGAATGAAGAACTGCCCACCATAGGAGAAAATCAGATTCAAGACCATCTAAGGAACCTGAAAGTACACAAGTCCATGGGACCTGATGAGATGCATCTATGGATCTGGAGAGAACTGGCAGATGAAGTTGCTAAACCATTATCCATCATATTTGAGAAGTTGTGGCAGTCTAGTGAAGTTCCCGCCAACTAGAAAAGAGGAAACATAGCCCCCATCTTTAAAAAGGGATCCAGGGAACTACATATGGATATGCATCCAGCTGGTATGAATTTGTAATTAAGTACGGTTTAGGCCCTTCCTACAAAAGGTGGGCCATTTCCTCCTGGCTGTGGAAGATGTAACAATCTGCTGTAGAGCTGCAGTCTATGTTGGTGAGCAACATCTGGTGACTCTGATGTGATTGAGGAATAGAAAGACTGCTACTCCCTTGCCAGAGCCAAAGGAGCTGGAGCCAGAGTGAGAATTCCTTTGACAAAGAAGGTAAAGCTGCTACCCTGACAGAAAGAGGGAAGTGAGAATTTATGGAGTCAGAATGAATAAAATCTTTGAAACTATTTAACTGGGTCTCTGCTCACCATGAAGTTCTAAAACCTTATAAACAAAAAGGGGGAATTATGGATATGTATCCAGCTGGTATGAATTTGTAATTATGTAATTAAGTAAGGTTTAGGCCCTTCCTGCAAAAGATGGGCCATTTCTTCCTGGCTGTGGAAGATGCAACAACCTGCCATGGAGCTGCAGCCTATGTTAGTGAGTAACAACTACAGGCCAGTCAGTCTCATCTCCATGCCCAGCAAGATCATGGAATGGATCCTCCTATCAACTATGTGAAGGCACATGGTAAGGAAGGAGGTCATTTGTGACAGCCAACATGTTTTCACTAAGGGCAAATGGCATCTGAACAATTTGGTGGCCTTCTGTGATGGGGTTACAGCATTGGTGGATAAGGGAAGAACAACTGACATCATCTACCTGGATTTGTCCAAAGTATTTGATGCTGTCCCACACAACATCCTTGTCTCTGAACTGAAGAGATGTGGCTTTGATGGATGGACCACTTGGTGGATAAGGAATTGGCTGGATGGTCACACTCAAAGAGTTGTGATCAATGGCTCAATATTCAAGTGGAGGCCAGTGATGGGTGGTGTTCCTCAGGGGTTGGTATTGAGCCCAGTGCTGTATAACACCTTTGTCAGTGACATGGACAGTGGGATCGAGTGCACCCTCAGCAAGTTTGCTGAAAACACCAAGCTGTGTGATGCAGTTAACACACTGGAGGGAAGGGATGTCATCCAGAGGGACCTTGACAGGCTTGAGCAGTGGGCCTGTGAGAACCTCATGAAGTTCAACAAGGCCAAGTGCAAGGTCCTGCACATGGGTTGGGGCAATCCCATGCACAAGTACAGGCTGGGCAGTGAATGAATTGATAGCAGCCCTGAGGAGAAGGGCTTGAGGGTGTTGGTTGACAAGAAAGAAGCTCAACATGAGTGAGCAATGTGTGCTCGCAGCCCAGAAAGCCAACCATATCCTGGGCTGCATCAAAAAAAAGTGTTGCCAGCAGGTTGAAGGAGGTGATTCTGTCCCTTTACTCTCTCTGCTCTTGTGAGACCCGACCTGGAGTACTGCGTTCAGCTTTGGGGCCCCCAGCATAAGAAGGACATGGAGCTGCTGGAGTGGGTCCAGAGGAGGGCCACGAAGATGATCTGAGGGCTGGAGCACCTCTGCTATGAAGACGGACTGAGAGAGTTGGGATTGTTCAGCCTGGAGAAGAGAAGCCCCTGGGGACACCTTCAAGCAGCCTTTCAGTACATAAAGGGGGCCTGCAAGAAAGCTGGAGAGGGACTTTTTACAAGGGCATGTAGTGATAGGACAAGGGGTAATGGCTTTAAACTGAATGAGGGGAGATTTTGATTAGATCTAAGAAAGCAATTCTTGTCTCTGAGGTTGGTGATACACTGGAACAGATTGCCCAGAGAAGTTGTGGATGCCCTATCCCTGGAAGTGTTCAAGGCCAGGTTGGGTGAGGCTTTGAGCAACCTGGTAGTGGAGGGTTTCCCTGCCCATGGGAGGGGGGTTGGAGCTAGATGATCTTTAAGGTCTCTTCCAACCCAAACCATTCTATGATTGTTCCTAACTGCAGCACAGGTGTTTTCAATTGACAATAACGTTCTAGAATGCTAAAGATCATGATATAATAAAATTATACTTGAAAACAGTTACCAACAAACATGTTGGGTGTATTAGTTATGTGTAACCTGCAATTGCAAGAGGAATTACCTTTCCGAAGAAAAGCCAATGCTGTTTTGTGTTTTGGTATAGCCTTCAGTTTTCAATGTCCTTCTTGTGGTTAAAATGAAGAACTCATACTGTTTTGATTTATTCAGCTCGGTGCTAATGAATTGAGGATGAGTATTAATAGTCTCCTACACAATGGAGACTTTTGTTTCCTAATTTTTCCAGAATTATCTGCCTCATATATTCAAATTGTCGGTCATATCTTTTTTGTTCCTTTTTTGTTCCTTGCAACAAAAGCCTTTCTGAAGTCCCAGACTTAGAGATTTTTCTTCTTTACTTTTTTGTCTCTTTTTTTTTATCACAAGACTATTTTCTATGTCAAGAAAGACAAATTTGGAGAATAATAAACTCTGTGTCTTTATAGATGGCCGTGTGTATGTAATCTTGATGATATTTTTTTTTTTGTCTACCAGCTTATAAACTGCCTAAAAAGCCCAAGTTTAAATTTTTGTAAAATTCTTCTCTTGCAGCATTTTGTTATGTCTTTTATTTTAAATAATTATTTTTAATATTCATACACAAAGTTTGATGCATGAGTGTTTAAGGACTAAGTTTTTGGCATGAAGAGAACAGTGTTTTATTTTGAATATGACCAAATTATACTTGCTGTCTTTTTCAAAGCAATAAAATTAAACTAAATAACAGTAGACGGGGTGTGAGAATTCAGAGATTTAATCATGTGCTTTTATTATTATGTATTGCTTACTAAGTCTTGCATGCTAATTTCCAAAGAATTATATATGCTGCTAACGTGTTGTTGAAGCTTCTGTCGAAAGCTTATTCTCTTTTTGAAAAAATTTAGGAGTTCTTTGAAAAGAAGAAACTTAAATCAAAGATGAAGCTTTTGGGAGTATCATCTCCTAGAAGTTCAGCGGTCAGTTTAGATCTCCTCAATCTATATGTTGTTAACCAGATATCAACCAAAAAAGACAACACAGGTGAGTTGAGTGTAATAGTGTTCTGGCTTCATGTTTAACAGAATCAATTATCCTTAACTACTACTGCTATTATTTTAGTTCTTGTTCTTCCACTTTTAATGCTCAAATAAGTGTTGTTTTATTTTTAAAATAAAAAAAACCCAAAACTGTAAGTAAATAAAAAATCATGATTGAATAAAAAGTCAGGACATAGGAGGAATCAAATAACCTTGGCTACTGCCTACTTCACCTTTAAAGCCTTGTACACTTGTGTACCTTCGTCATTCCATTCATTAATTTTACTGTACATCTATTTCTTTTTCCCTTTGCCTTTGAATGGGCTCATTTGTACTCCACTTCCTTTTTCATAAATTTTGAGGAGGCATTTGGAACAGTCTGTCAGTTTCACCCAGAATATCTTTCTTAAAATCCATCATTAAGCTCCTAAAAAAATATCTCTACAACTTGATTCCTAACTCTTATCCTCTGTGACATATTCATAAACCAGATTGTGGATAATTTGTTGTCCTATGATCAGGAAGATTAGAAGGTGACTGAGGAGGGCAAAAGCTTGGCTACACACAGCAGCTGACCGTATATAATTTTATACTCTAATGCCATTTAGAAGAGAGCTCTTGCATTGCTAGTAACAAAGAAAGCAACAAATATGGCTTTAAATGGATTAAGAAACCTAAACCAACAGCTTTTGTGCTCTAATGAAAATTCAGGAAGCTCAAAACTTCCTCCAAGCCCAGCACTGACATTCCAAATACTTCCATTGCAGAGAACGTGAGGAAGCCAGTCCACGTTGATATCAGTGAAGATGTAAAAATCCCTGTTAGGAGGCACAACATAGAGCTTCCCATGTCACCACTACGTACACAACATATGTCAAACTTAGATGACACCCAGGACAGGTACTTATGTAATATAGGTAGTAGTTAAGCTATAATGAAGTTCTGGAAAAGGTATTTCATGATGGTCTTATATTTTGGGGTATTAAGTAAACATAACCACACAATTGTAAGATGAAGAAGTTTCACAATCACTCCTGGCATTCCAGTGATATTCTTACTATGAGAGAGTAAATAAATGTATTCTAAATAAAAAAACTGTACACGAAGCTAAGAGATTTTAAAAAAAAAAATTTTTTTCTTTATTCATGTCAGGTACATATACTAAGCTTATCTCGAAGAGCAGGTTATTCAAACACCATTTCCACTTACACTGTTTTCCCATCCAACTTCAGGCACCCTAAAGTGACTGACTCACAAGCTGGCTGCTCATAGCTGCTTAGAAATCAGGCCTTTTAAACGTGTGGAAAAATATTCTTAAATTATTTTAAAATTAATACTTAGACTGTTTTTAATCTTCTAGATCTAAAATCTTGTATTTCATAGGCTGGTTTTATTCATTTTACAAGGTTACAAAAGCAAGTATTGGACAGCAGAAGGCAGCATCTCTCAGAGAAACTAAAATACCAGTGTAATGTAAGTAGGTTTATTGTTCTCACTGATGTAAAGCTAAAAATGTGCAGCAATGACTGCATGGGTGAGTCATTTTTCAAAGAATGACCAGATCTCATGGATACTGAAATGCGAAGTCTTCTTCTTTAAAGCCATACTGATATGTTATTTTCCAGTCATATTTTATATTTGTTCTTGCTATTTCTTACGTGTTTCTTAAAAGGCTCACCTTGTTTTAGGCAGTTTCCAAAACGCTTAAGAATATCTGTACTCTAAGCTAGTCACAAAGGACAGAGATTATGGGAAAGAGACTGAGGCCAACAGCAGGTGAATTAAAAACAATATGCAAAAATGTGAAATGATGAAATGTGAGAAGCATAGGCAGAAATGAGTCTTTAAGAGGAACTTAAATACGAGTCTCAGTGGACACAATTGGGAAGTTCTATAGACATATTGAGAGTTACAGTAAAAAAACATTCTCTAGATCGAATTCCAGCTTTTTTTTTATGATCCATTCCTCTGTTATTAGAAGACATTTAGCTTAGGTACTCAGACTTGCTAGATAATGTAGCTCTACTGGCTTCTGCTATTCATATCAGATAGGACTCTGAGCAAAAGCTGCGTGCAAAAGGTGCTTGCACATTATTGTTGTCTATGTTCATGGCCCAGTCATGTTGGCAAAGCACGTTTTGCTGGGGTGAGAAAGACACGTTTTTCTAGTGTTAGAAGTTCCTTTCTTTTGAGCCAAGAAGAATTACTTAGTATGGGTGAAAAGTTTAGCTGTCTGATGTGTTTCAGCCAACATCGCCATGAGCTGCCACTGCTTTTTTGGTTATTCCGTTAAGTCAGACTTCCTTTATGACTCTTTCATCTGTTTCTTGAAGACAGAGAGGACATATTTTAGAGTTAGCATGACCAGAAATAAGAGGTCAAAATGATGGCTAAGTTTGTATGGATAGGTTTACACCAGTCCCTCAAAACATGTGATACTGCAGTGTGCACACCCACAAAGCTAACGTAATGTATGGATCAAAAAATAAGATCTAAGGCTTCTATGTTGCAGAGAACTGTTTTTAAAATCTTTGTAAACTAAAGTGTATCCAATTTAAGTAATAAAGATATATCCACTTTATTAAGCAGAAAGAAGGGCTATAAAATTCATGATTTTCAGCTCTCTGAAAATGTACAATTTTGTGGTACAAAGATTTTGTGCAATTAATGTACAAGGCTTTTGCACTCCATCAGTAGCTTGTGCTGCTTTCACAGGCATTACTTCCATGTAGCTGTGGATACAGTGACATTTTATGAGTTTTGCCTTCAAATTTCTTCTTGTGTTCTGATCTGCCTGAGATAGCATTGTTGGTATCACAACATGCTGGAGTTCTCTCCTCAATGAAGTAAAATATTTTCCATTTTACTACTTAAGAACAAAGACAGCATATCATTTACCTACACATCTAAAGCTAAAAATGTATTTATATCCATCTCTCCTCAGGATAACATTTGCGTGCATACTTCAACTTCAGTAGGTACTCATGTGTTTCCCTGGAATAAACCTGTATTACCTTCTGGTTTTGATGAGACAAATCATATCAGAATCATAGAATCATAGAATCATAGAATCGTTAGGGCTGGAAGGGACCTTCAAAGGTCATCTAGTCCAACCCCCCTGCAAGGAACAGGGATATCTCCAACTAGATCAGGTTGCTCAGGGCCTCATCCAACCAGGCCTTGAACGTCTCCAGGGATGGAGCATCCACCACCTCTCTGGGCAACCTGTTCCAGTGTTCTACAACTCTCATGGTAAAAAATTTTTTCCTAATATCCAATCTGAATCTACCTCCCTCTATTTTAAAACCATTACCCCTTGTCCTATCACAACTGGCCCTCCTGAACAGCCTCTCCCCATCTTTCTTGTAGGCCCCCTTGAGGTACTGGAAGACCGCTATAAGGTCACCCCGGAGTCTTCTCTTCTCCAGGCTGAACAGCCCCAACTCTTTCAGCCTGTCCTCATAGGAAAGGTGCTCCAGCCCTCTTATCATCTTCGTGGCCCTCCTCTGGACCCTCTCCAACTGGTCCATGTCCTTCTTATGTTGGGGACTCCAGAACTGGACGCAATACTCCAAGTGAGGTCTCACGAGGGCAGAGTAGAGGGGGAGAATCACCTCCCTCGACCTGCTGTCCGCGCTCCTCTTGATGCAGCCCAGGACGCGGTTGGCCTTCTGGGCCGCACGAGCACATTGCCGGCTCATATACATGAGAAATTTCTCTTGCGTGTGGTATATGTGCAGAGATGTAAAAGATCTAGAAAGAATCGTTTACTTTGAACTTTATGCTTGCATCAAAACAGGTTTAGATAAATAAAATGTCTCTTTGCTATGTTTTATCTAGTTATCACAGGTAACAGAATTAACGCATACTGACTTTAGTATGGAATATGAAGACAACACAGCAAGAGCTTTTAGTGCCTATCCATTGTCCCCTTCTGGTTTTTGGTCCTCTAACTGTACACAATTTTCAGAAGAAAATTTAGACACAAACCTCATGGGCAGCTCTTGGGAAGAGAGCTATGAAGAGAAGCTGCAAAACCAGGTTTGATTAATATTTTGTCGTTTCCACAGAATTGTTTTAAGGTAACTTTCATTTATTTGGGGTGTCGAATTAGTATAATGGTAGAGATAATTCTGAATGATCAACATTTCTCGTAGACTGGTGGCAATGAATATTCCATATATACAAATACATTCCTTTTATTGTTATGAAATACGCTTAACTCGAGCTTTTGTTCACTGAGCTCTCGGTATTGCTGATACCTGCAGAAAGACAGTCAGTCACATACCACTGACTGTCTTTTGTTTCTGGCTTGTAAAGTTGGTTAAAGAAAGCTGAAACGTATTACAGTTATAAATACAGCTTTCTTAAATGTACAATTAGTGTGACTGGGTATTGCATGATCCCAGGTGATCTCCATGACCTAATTTGCAGTGTCTCAGTGAGTAACATAGTTCTTATAATATTCTTAATGCTCCTGAAAGGATTGAGAAAAGCCTGCTGTTTAACTCAAGTTAAGTTTAGGCAGTGATTGAAAGTTATTTGCTCTGATGCATGTTACTATTTTTTTCTTTTTGTTAACTTTGGGGTTCTTAAAAGAATCATCCTTAGAAAAGTAGTGGCATATATAAGAGGGCTCTCATAATATGCTTTATTTTTAGAAAATATAGTATTTATTGAAAATAATAAATTCTACATGTATCACCAGTGGTATTTTAAAGTCTTGAGATAAGTGAGGAAGGGGTACTTCAGGGCTTCAGAAAGGAAGGTCTTGAGTTGTTGAGGGAATGGGTAGGCAGAAACCCACAGGAAGCTGACCTGAAGGACAAAGGAGCCCAAGAAAGATGTTTTCAAAACACAAGGACAGTTCACCTCGATGTGCAAGAGAATGCATAGGTCCTAGAGGCCAGTTTGGCTGAATCAGGGCACTCCTGACTGAGCTCAAATGCAAAAAGGAAGTGTGGAAGGAGGGATGGACCACCCAGGAAGAAAAGAGAAGCATCAACTGAGCTTGGAGTGGTGGCATTAGGATGGCCAGAGCTGAAACTCACGAGGATAAGGGCAGCAAGGAGGACTTCTATAGGTACGTCATCAGCAAAAAGAAACCAAGGAAAATGCTGTCCACTGCTAAATAGAGTTGTTGACCTAGTGACAAAGGACATGGAAAAGTCTGAGGCACTTGAGACCTACTTTGCTTCAGGCTTTTCTGATGAGGTCTGCCCGTCTTCAAGCTCAGTAGAGAGTTTGGGGGAAGAGTGGTACAAAACAGTAATGAAAGAATAAGTTAGGGAATCCTTAGTAACCTGGACATGAAGTAACATGGGACTGGACAGGGTGCATCCAAGTATATTTAGGGAGTTGGATGACACCACTGTAGGGTACATGTCTATCATCTTTTAAAAACTGTGGTGATCAGAAAGCTTCTCAGTGACAAATACACAAATGCTCATTTGCAAAAATGTAAGCATGATGTGGGGAAGTATCATCTCGCCTCTGTGCCTGAAAGGATCATGGAACTAGACCTCCTGGAAGCAATTCCAAGGTACATGAAGAACAAGAAGGTGATGGGGAACAGCCATCATAGATTTACCAGGGCCATATTGTGCCTGATGAACCTGATTGCCTTCTGTGATGAAATGACTAGCTCTATGAATAAGGGAGAGCAGCAGATATTATTTGCCTTGACTTTAGGAAGGCTTTTGACAAGGTTTCCCATGGGATCCTAGCAGCCAAAGTGGGGAGGTATGAACCAGATGAGTGGACAGTAAGATGGGTAAAAAACTGGCTGTTACCATCATGCCGCAAGTACTGTCTGTGATATGAACTGTAATTGGCAACAGGTCAGTAATGGCAGGGATCCCCAGAAATTAATACCATCTTCATTAGAGAGTTGGACAACAGGACAGAACGTACCCTGAGCACCTCGGCAGATTCTTGCACGATACCAAATTGGCAGAGTGATCATTACAGTAGCAGGGCTGCTATTCAGAGGGATCTTGACAAGCAGAAGGCCACCAGGAGCTTCATAGAGTTTAATGCAGAGAAATACAAAGCCCAGCACTTAGGGAGAGATAACCTCACGCATCAGTGCAGGTGGGGACTGATTGCGTAGGCAGTGTTTTTTCAGAGAAGGACCTCAGGGTGCTGGTGGACAACAAGTTGTACATGAGTCAGTAGCGCACCCTTGTAGCAGTGAAGACCAACTACATAGAGGGCTGTATTAGAAAGAGCATACCTAGCAGTCAAAAGCAAGTGATTGTTTCCCTCTGGGCAGCATATGTGAGAACACGTCTGAAATACTGTGTCCAGTTTTGAGACCCCTGCTATAAGAGAGAGATCAACAAACTGTAGCAAGACCAATGAAGGGCCAAACAACAATTGTTAAGGGATTCAAGCGCATGATGAATGCGGAGAGTCTGAGCTAAGAGGGCTTTCACGGCCTGGGAAAGAGAAGGCTATGGGGGTGTGAGGTGAACTAACTGCTGCCTTCCAAGGTCTGAACAGAGTTATGGACAGGACAAAGCCAGAGGTGCACAGTAAATGGCAAGAGGTAAAGGTCGCAAGTTTCAACAACGGAAATTCTGTTTGTATAGGAAAAAAATATTGTCACAAAATTAGCTAGGCATCAGAAGAGGCCATCCAAACAGGTTATGGAATCTCAGTCCTGAACAAGCCTGAGCAATCTGGCCTGGCCTTGAAGCTGGCCCTGCTTGGAGCAGGTTGGACTAGATACCTCTTGTGGTCCCTTCCAAACAGCTTCCTATGATTATGCGATCCTCAGTGGAACTTCATCTTGTTACAGTCTGTCAGTCAAGCTTGCTCCCACTGTGGGAGGATGGGGTGTAAAAGGACATTTTGCATATTAGCAGTGATACGCAAATATGGAGAAGTATGAGTTATACAGAACTCAGTTGGGCTTTAAGGAGGTTTAGGCTTCTACTGTAAAGACAAAAAGAAGTAAAAACAGTGGGAAAACATGTATATTGTTTGCAAACCCAGCTTCAAAGTGTGAAATACTATAGTTATTATATATATTCACAGTTTGACAGCTTCTACTGTTTTCTCAGCCAGGAAATAGCTCTGATCAGGACCCTTGGATTACAAAACCTCCAAACCAGTATATTTTCAGGAAGTCTGACACAGTGCCTCAGGAGCTATTTAAGCCATTGCATAGGTAGGCAGTGATTTTACATTAAAGAGAGAAATAACAGTCAGTCAAGTGTAAGTAAGAAAAACACTGAGATAATGCATAACTGGTTTTTTTATGATAATCCATAACTTGTTTTTTTCACTGATTTTTGGTGCTTTTCAAATAGAAATTGAAATTAAATTGAAAGACCGAACATACTGAGCTATCTAAATTTGCTGAAAGGCAGGGAAATGTGAATTTTAGGTAGGTTCTTGGAAAAACAACCTATTTTTTGCAATGTCACAAACATGATGGTGTTACTGAATTCACCCCAAGTGAGAAGCACAGATATTACTGAGGCCACAGGGATGGTAGGTGCCTCACCTCTCATTAGTTCTGGTCACTGTTGCAAGTGCTTTTCTGATGACCTTGATGCTGTAGCAATTGAGCAACTTCACCTACATTGTTTACATTCGGGATTCCAGGAACAAAACATTTTTTTCCTTATCTTTCATACATGATCCTACTATAGCTTTTTTTTTTTAGAACTGGCTCAGTAACACTTTTATGAGAATAAAAAAAATCTTTTTTCGAAAAAAGACTGAGTAGAAATCTAGAATATATTTCTTTTTGTATGTGCTGATTAAAATTCTTTTTAATCACACAAGGTTTAGAGCCAGACTCATTTATATTGAACATCTTGCTTCAATTTCTTTTCAAGGGCTCTTGCCTTCATCTAGGGCTCTTACAGGGCTAATCTTCCTTTACTCTTTTTATTCTGTAAGTCAGATGCCTGGTTGAAAGTTCCTGTCAGTCTCTGGCTTTGGCTGGATAGAGCTGTAAAAAGCTATATATTATTTTGTGGTTGCTGAAGTGCCTACAACCTGTTTGCCTGCAAGCCAAGTGACTGATAAGCTCACTGACCACATGGTATCCTGATGAACACATCAGCTTCCGGTCTTAACAACCTTAACTTTCTTGCTTCTCCTGGCTTTCTCCAGCAAAATCTAAAATGGCGATAACATTCTCCTTCCTGTATATCTTGGTGAATTCCCAATGAATTTTTTTACGTTATAGCCCTACCTAACCTTACCTTGCCTGCATCTCCCCTTTCATTTCTCCTCAGGCCTGCACTCATCTGCTTGCGACAACTCCCTTAGTCCTCTGCCCATTCATGGCTCACTAACAACATCTCCTTTCCAACTGTTCTTCAAATCCATTTCTTTCTATAGCCCTTGATTTTTTTTTCATTCCATAGATTTTTTTTTCATTTATCCATAGATTCTCATACCTCTAGGGCTGCCAGTTCGCCTCGGAATGGAGTTGCTTTCACAGTATGTGAAAAGCAGGGTATAAACTTGTACAATCATTTCATGTAATTGTAACATACTGATGATATAATCAATATGCATACATCTGAGAGCTGTGGCACCTCAAGATCATTAAAGATTAACTAAAAATTTTAGATGTCTTATAAAGATAGCAGATGTCATGCACTCTGAATAGTGCTTAGCTATTTCCTTGTCTACTATTAAGTTTTGCTTAGCAAAATGCTTATAAAATGTTCAGCCAAAGTGAAGAAGTGCTTCACAAAATGTTTTTGCCTTCCTCACATAGATCTATCCAAGCTTCTCCAGAAACAAACTAGTATGTTTAGCTTTTTAAAACTGTTTGGGGGGGGATTTCCGTAAGTAGAGGACACCACTTTCTTATGTAAGTTCTCTAGGATCTTTAGCCTGTTCCAAGTATTTGCTGATCAAAACATTACAGATTTTTTCTCTAGTAAGAATTTTCTGTACTACATTTCAGTTTTCAAGTTCCATTCACAGCATTGCTAAAAATTTTTTAAAGAAAGGATAGTTTTTGAATGGCTGCCTTTGCCAATTCTCTGTGCTTCAGAAGCCTCTCAACTTTTTGCTGAGATCTTCTGAAAGGTCAATCAGCAGATCAAGCCTAGAAAAAAGCAGCAAAAACGTTAGATGAAGAGCCAAGTAAGTGAAGGCATGATAGCTTGCATGCTAATAATGCTAGCATGATAGCATCTTCAAAACCACTACTATCAAAAGTGGGGTAGGGAAGTATGGGTGAAAAAAAATGTCTGACTGGCCTCCTGACTGTGGAACAGAAAAATTCTCTGCTGAATTAGGATTACTGACACTGGAAGTCACTTCCAGTGAGTAAGAAGTCACTAAAAGAGACTGAAGCCAATTCCTGGCTAAAGAGACCAGGAATTAGGCAGTACACAGAGCTTTTTATGGGTCTTCAGTACAGGAGAGAGCTGTAGTCATAAAGAACGAACTATTTTTATGAACAGAAGAAGCTGGCTTCCTCTTTTTTTTTTTTTTTTTTTTTCCCCCCAAAATGGCCTTCTTTGGTCAGCTAGTGGAGCAGCAGTGACATACTGTGGCTGATTTTATAAATCACAGTTCCCTACTTGGGAGAATGTGCTCCATGTCTTGGTATGTTTGGAGACATCATGAAACAGAAACCCTTTTAAATCTACTTTACTCTAAAGTGGAAATAGAATACAGGACACTTTTTCAGTTGAAATAATGTACATTTGAGACAAACGCAAGTGTAATGAGCAGTAAAGTATTTGAGATTTTTCATCATCAAGTAATCATAATTTGTTGTGTTAGCAGTTAGTATTTTGCTTGTTTATGTACTGAGAAACTGTTTTTTCTTTTCTACCCCCACCCTTCACTCACCCCCAGGATAGACTATATTAATTCTGCCAGGAAAAATCCAGTGATAATTACAAGTAACAAATCAGAAAACAGTGAAGGAATAGGAGAACCATTGTTTGATGTAGTGAAAGAAACTGCAGAACTGAAAGCTCCCCAAGATGGAAGTGATTGTTCTTTTCTGGCACTGTTTGAAGATGAGGGACAACCAATCCACAATAATCCTTCCACAAAACATTTTAATCCTTTTGTTAGCCAAAGCAGTACTGACGTTTTTTTCATTGAGCCTGATGATAGAAATCAAATGATCAACAGAAATTATCCTTATGATACTGGAGAGGCTTATCCTGCAATCAATGCAAAAGAAAGTTCTATGGACAGACACCTTGAAGGCATTTTCACAACTCCAGAGCAGGTTTTACTTAAAAGCAACTATGCCTCAAGCGCAAGCTACAAGAAAACCAGTGGACCTCATAAAACCCACCTGCAGGACTGTCATGAGGGACAGCACTACTTCATCCCCTCTGAAAACAAAGAAAAACCTGCAAACCTTGAAAAAACAGGTGAGTGTCAATATTTTAAGGATATATGTTCCAGTTTCTATTCTCCTTTTAAAGACATATGTTCTTATAACCAGAGATGTGTCTGCCCGCACTGAAAACATGTTATGAATCTTCAGAATCCAGTAATTTAATATTAAATCCAATTATTAAAATTATTTGTAAAAGTCGACAGAAATATTTTTTTCAAACAACATTTACGTTATTGTGTTTTAAAATCAAGGTTTCTTTTGTTATTTTAGAGGCATTTGCTTATCACCATGATCAGCAGATTAACTTAAAGGAGAATGTGCAGAACTATTCAGGAAAAAAAAGGTGAGTGCCATGGAAATTATCAATTTATTAATTAGTGATAACTGCAGAGACGTTGCTGAATTGGAGAAATCCTGCAAATTCTAAACAGTATTTCTGAGGACCCAAGTTTTCCCAGTGAAAATAATAGTGAATAAACTTAAGTGCATGTAAGCCCTTTGTACCGTTGTTCATCTGCCTATAATAAGTAGAGAGACAGACTGCTGCTGGGACAATTTTGAGGCCCTGAAGTTAAGCTACTGGTCTGACTTGCCCTCTAAAAGACTCTGTCTCCTGCCACTGACTACAGAGGAAGTTAGTGTCTTCCCTTGGCTAAAGTTAGCATGTGGGAGTGCCTCCATGTTTTCAAAAGACAGTTTTATCAAAGACCCTGATCCATAACACTTTCCATTTTACAAAGCAGCACTATCTTCTGTCATCTCTCATACTACATTTTGTATTTCAACAGAAGTGAGGTTTGTGAAAAACAGATTCTTGATGTTAAATCTCAGGTTCAGAAATAAGTTCAATGATCTCAATAGTGGGAAGCATTTCATGTTTCCTAAAGACAAAATAAAAATTGAAGACAAGAAAGTCACCAGTAATGACTTTGATTCAGAAAGAAGATGAAAGTACAGGAGGGGAAATCACTTATCAGAGAACTCTGTGTTTGCATCCCTCAGTGATGATGAGTCTGTGAAAGAAGCTGCCTGGAGACAGAACCAGCTCTTTGGATTTGAAGAGGTAGCTTTTTAAAGAGACATATCTTTTTGCCAAACCTACTGTTTACATCATTCATTTGAGGTGGAGAAGGAATGTCCATAACAGTTAGAAACTGAATTTAGCTTCTCTGAATTAACTTCTGTGGAAACTTCTTTTCCTTCATGATTTAAACAGGGAATCCAGAAAGAACCAGCTTCTAGTGAAGTGGTTCAGATAGACAGCCCTTTCAGGTCCATGGTTTACATGATTTGATACCTAACTAAGCTGATATCTGAAATACATTGCTTAAGTTACCCATTAACCCTTAGGATCAGAATCTGCAGGTGGTGCCCAGACATTTTGTGCAGGACACTTCAGCATTATAAAAGAGCTTTGTGCCAGTACACGTATAAAGAATCTTGTAGGTATTTTGCCCATAGAAGTCACCCAGGTACTTACAGTATTGCTCAGGGGTTTTGTACTTCTTCAAATAATTTGTAGCACAGTGTAGTGACTCTTTTATGTGATATTGAAACTGAATGTTCCTCACTTAACCTGAGGTGCTGATGCAGCTGAACCCTCGCTATTAACACTTACTTATTTTTGAAAGCTCACAACAGCACAAAAGAAAGAGTATAAGTTTGGCGTGAGTTCAAATCTTCACGAGATGGAGAAGGGTTAGTACCATTTATACATCAGTAAGTCAAAACCCAGATTTTCTCTACTTGTGAAAGTAAAACAGTTACTTTAAAAGCCAGAGAGAAGTGGTTTGATCTTTTTAAGATGTTACATTTGATGAGGGCTTGTGTTTTTGATTCACACAGTACTGTATAAAGAAGACTAGTATTGCCAGGTAAATAAGAACTATCTGTATTTTCTTTTCCTAGAAGAGATAAATTCAGGTTAACTTCTTGCTGGTGAGTACTACACACATATTTTTCATCGTCCCATTTCCTCCAAAGTTGTCTGCTAAATGAAAAGCCAGCAATGAAAGTAGGGGTAACTGCTAAAAAAAAAAATAAATCAATCCATGAGAGTGGTCAAGAGAATTAATCTGCACACCACAACTCAAGTTTACCAACATCACCATGTAGTAGAAGTGCCAGTTAAATGCCAGTCATTTTCTTTCTTTCTATTCCTGCACACCTCTATTGGTTAGAAAAAATCTTGGACATGTTTTCTGTATTAATTAATATCTTCATTAGATGTCTGACATGCCATTTTACTGGTCTGGTTTTTACTAGTCTTTATTCTCTTCCACATTCCAGAAGACCTCCCAAGGGCCTCCAAGAGAAAAACATGGCCATAAACCCATGTGGCTTGTATGGCAGCCAATGTGTGCAGGGAGTTTGCTGCATTGTCTCCCTGCCCTCCCTGCCTTCTTCCCTTTCATAGAATTACAGCCTTTGAAGGTCATCTAGTCTAACCCCTCTGCAATGAGCAGAGACACAGGATCATAGGATCATAGAATCATAGAACAGTTTGGGTTGGAAGGGGCCTTAAAGATTATCTAGTTCCAAGCCCCCTGGCATAGGCAGGGACACCTTTCACTAGATAATGTTGCTCAAAGCCTCATCCAACCTGGCCTTGAACACTTCCAGGGATGGGGCATCCACAATTTCTTTGGGCAACCTGTTCCAGTGCCTCACCACCCACAGAGGGAAAAATTTCTCCCTTAGATATAATCAAAATCTACCCTCTTTCAGTTTAAAGCCATTACCCCTTGTCCTATCACTACATGCCCTTGTAAAAAGTCCCTCTGCAGCTTTCTTGTAGGCCCCTTTTAGGTACTGGAAGGCTGCTAGAAGGTCTCTTCAGAGCTTTCTCTTCTCCAGGCTGAACAGCCCCAACTCTCTCAGTCTAGTCTTCATAGGAGAGGTGCTCTAGCCCTTGGATCACCTTTGTGGACCTCCTCCGGACTCACTTCAACAGGTCCATGTCCTTCTTATGCTGGGGGCCCCAGAGCTGAACACAGTACTGCAGGTGGGGGTCTCACGAAAGCAGAGTAGAGGGGCAGAATCACCTCCCTCGACCTACTGGCCGTGGTTCCTTTGATGCAGCCCAGGATACGGTTGGCTTTCTGGGCTGCCAGTGCACATTGCCGGCTCATGTTGAGCTTCTTGTCAACCAACACTCCCAAGTCCTTCTCCTCAGAGCTGCTCTCAATCCATTTTCCACTCAGCCTGTACTTGTGCATGGGATTGCCCCAACTCACGTGCAGGACCTTGCACTTGGCGTTGTTGAACTTCATGAGGTTCTCACAGGTCCACCTCTCCAGCCTGTCAAGGTCCCTCTGGATGGTATGCCTTTGCTTCATTGTGTTGACCACACCACACAGCTTGGTGTTTTCAGCAAACTTGCTGAGGGTGCTCTCGATCCCACTGTCCATGTTAAACAACACTGGCTCCAATATCGACCCCTGAAGAATACCACTCGTCATTGGTCTCCCCTTGGACATCAAGCCATTGACTGCAACCCTTTGAGTGTGACCATCCAGCCAATTTCTTATCCACCAAGTGGTCCATCCGTCAAAGCCATGTCTCTTCAATTCATAGACAAGGATGTTGTGTGGTACAGTGTCAAATGCTTTGGACAAGTCCAGGTGGATGACATCAGTTGTTCTTCCCTTATCCACCAATGCTGTAACCTTGTCGTAGAAGGCCACCAAATCTTCAAGACATTTTCAACTAGATCAGGTTGCTCAGATCCCTGTCCACTCTGACCTTGCTTTTGGATAGCACAGTCCTGCTGCCAGTGCAGGCTGCTGATTAACAGCACAGCTGAAGCTTTGGGGCACCTGTCTTACGTTTTGTGTTAAGAGGTGTTATCCTGAAAGGAGACAGGTTGGCTATTGCCAAGACCTAGACCGACTTTACAAACACTTTATTTATTAAATAATATCTTAAAACTGCATCAGAAGTAGTTATGTTTAATTGTATGTGATTTACTTGAGAGTTGGATGTTTGGGGAAGTTTTGGCGAGTGACCTTTCTTTCCTTTTCATCTCATTTTTCAGATGTAGAGTCCTCAATCAGTAGCCAGTCTCCCAATTACTCTCCAAGGCAGACAGAGAGCTGTTTCAGCTCCAGTCCTGACGTGGTGAGTATTGTCCCATCATGGATTTGCAGGGGTTCATTTGAACGGTATCTGTATGCTTGAGTGCATCTAAGGGGGGATGTAACTGGAATCTTATTTATGGTTTTGTTTTGTACAAGGCAACTTCACATGTGAGAGGATAAAAAAAAAAGAAATTATTAGCTGTAAATTTTCCTAAGTAGTTTAACAGACATGTGGTCGGGTCTCTTGATAATACCAGGCCTTGTGGAATTGTAATAACATAACTGTGGGAAGATGCTAAGCAAGCTTCTGCTCTCTTCCTTGACCTATAGCTGCCTTACATTACCTGCCTGTAAGGGAGGAGGATTTGACACACTGTGTGTTTTCAGCCATTCTTGAACACAGAGATGCCACAATGTAAGAAAATAAATTCTGTGTGAGAGTGGAGGTCTGGCTTACCCACCTTCCCTTCAACAAAGGCCGAGAATACACCCCTGGAGAAGGAATGAAAAGAAACCCCAAACAACCAAACCCAGATAATTCTGGCCTTTCTCTTTATTTCATTAACTTAGTAATTAGTTAGTCATTAACATAGTGCTTAGTTATTGAACTATTTTAACAGTTGCATTCACACAATTCTGTTCAAACAGTCTGAAGAGGAAGACACAGCCCAAAAGAAAGAATATCTGAAAGAACGGTCCTTGAAGACAGCTGATGCCAACATAATCTCAGCCTCAGCAAGCACAGAGCCCCCCGAGACCTCTCACACCAGAACCATGCCTCTCCAGCCCAGCAGTATTTTGACTAGAGGAGAAGCAAACCATCTCCAGGAGAAAGGCTCTATTTTGTGTGCCACAGATGAAGAAGCAAACCATCTCCAGGAGAAAGGCTCTATTTTCTGTGCCGCAGATGAAGATAACAAGAACCACACTGCCCCGTCTGAGGGCAGCTCATTACACCAAGCCCTTAATAGAGAGCACGTCACTGGCAGTGCCAGGCGTGACAGCTGGTCGCAGACGGAGAGCTCTGTTACAGAAGCAAGGAAAGTGGATGCTGCCACCCAGTGTGACACCATGCAGGTGTGCAGCTGTGGGAGCTCCCTCCCCTCTGCCCGCAGCCCGGGAGTGATTCCTTCTCCCAGCACCACAGGCACCGCTGGAGGGCACAAAGTGGCAGGGCCTGAGGCGCCGTAGCCCGCTTTTTGCGCCCGCCACAGCGGCGCGTTCTCCCGAAGCCGAGTACCTGAGTTTGGCTGGCAGGAGGGCCCTAGAGGTGCTGAACTACTTGGATATCATAAAGGAGAGGGAGAAGCCGTGACCAGCTAGAAGGGCACATCAGAAGTAGAGGAGTTTTATCCTGTTCTCAGCGTGTTTAATTTAATTGGCATATTTTGATTTTTCTAGCTTGGTTAGAAAATGTTTTTGTGCTGTTTGTTCGCTTTAGAGTATTATTAACTATGGGTGGCTCTTTTCCTGCTGCTAACTATGGGTTTCTATAGCTCTCCAACATAGGATTTTACAATAACATAGTAAATATAAACCTTAGGAATTAGATTGGTTTTCTACCATATATCCATAGGATTCTGTAGTTTGGGATTCACTTTGCTTCTTTTGAATGTCGTGGAAAGATTCTATTTCACTTGAAAACATATTTGGTGTGGCTCTTAGAGCTATTGTCTGATTCTTACCTATTTTAACAGGCAAACTAGTCTTTACCATATGTTTGTACTAAATATAAAAATGGGAAACAACAGAAAATGCACATCTGCACACAGAGAATAAATGTAATTTAAAAAGAGTTAATTTATTAAGATTTTTTAAAAAAAAAAAAACACAAACCACCCCAAAGCCTGACCTTCCTTCCATAGCAGTTCTATTGATTCATTCTCTGACTGTTAATATTGACAAATCTTCTATGTGTTTCTGTATTTTGCCTGCAGATTGAAAATCTGAAATGCTTTCCTCTTTGTTTCGGTATTTGTGTGAAGCTACAAATCACAACAAATAAAAGTTTCTGATGATATTGTTTCTAGGTTATATCCTTTCCTTCTTAAAGAGTTCCTAGTAAAGGTGGCAGGGAGACTCACTGATATCTTATATATCCATACACCTTTCCTTATATACACATACCTATATAACACATATTGGTGTATGTGACACAAACACAAATATATGTGTTATATATATATGTGTGTGTGTGTGTATACGCTGGCTGCGTACAGGATTCCCGCTCAGTACAAACTGGGCTTGGGGAAAAGCTGTGCTGGAGACTATTCCTTAAACGGGGCAGGAGGTGTGCTTTCACGAGGTTACTATGTTGTGCTTTCTCTCTTGGTGACAGCTCTTGAAAGATTCACTGCCCTTGTTGCCACCAGATCGGTTTCTTTTATTTCTACATTTCGCAACAAAAGGTTTTGCAGATGAAGGGATGTGTGTCCCACAGCCCTGACAAGACCCATTGTCATTCTTTGTTTCCATTCTTGTCATCCACCTAGTGGCTGTGTTTTCTACTGGCTTCTATTTTTGCAGCTAAGAGCCGTTTTTAAAAGAAGGTCTATGTTGCTCAACAGTTTGCAGTTTTATGGCTACGCAGTTTTAAAAATAGCGTCTCAGAAATTTCAGCGGACGTTTCTGTACTCGGAAGAAAATAGCTTTGTCTTTTCTACGTATAAATTACAGACAGGGGAAGCGGTTTGCACGGCCGGACTTCTGACATGTGTAACTATCATTTAGCCAATTCACTGTCCACTTCCTGAGGCTTGACATGAGCAGATTTTCTTTTTTAGGTTGCCTCAATTTACTGTCAGAGCAAGCTCCCTAGTAATTTTTTTTATCGGAAACGGCCATGTCCACAGGAGCTGTAATTTATCTGAATAACAACTGTGATTTGCCGAAATCTCAGCCGTTACCGGCGGTTTGTGAGTTGCAGGTGTTCACTCAGCCTGTTCAGATTGCGCCACACAGCAGCAGCCTGTGCGGCCCTGAACTAGGACATCTGAGGCGTGCGCTTCTCCAGCGATCCCCTGTGCCTGGTACGTTCCTGTCAGCCTTTCCAGAGGCACGTGTCCAGCTTCACGGCCCTCCTCGAACTCACTTGGTCCGCTGCCTCCTGCAAAATGCTGTGGCAGGGGCCAGTGAATGGCACGTTACAGCTAAAAGCTCCGGCGCTGTGTACCTCATAGTTTGAGTTTCCAATCAGGGTGGCAGGTGTGAAATTCCCACATGGCCAGAGAGCTCTGTGGAGGCTCTGCTTAGAGAGGTGCTGAAGTGACCCAACCGGAGGTAAACTGCTGTTAACTGGCGATGGAAATGACACTCCTGATTTCTGCGAGAGTGGCGTCATTGCTGGGACTTTTAAACTCTGTTTTGTTTTACAGTGAAGCGAGCTACCCAAGTTCAGGCCGAGGCTCCTGATCTGCGGAGCCAAGCAGGACATATTCCCTGCCTGCTCCTGTGAATCTAGGGGACAAAGCGTGCAGGTCAGGACTGGGAAAAGAGTGCTGGTTGCACCGTATGGGGGTATGTGCATCGGGGTTTCAAAGGAAACAATACATCTTTAGTAAGTTACCTCTCACATCTCTCATTATTTAGGGCCTTGCAGTGGGCATAGCTTATCTTCACTACAGTCACCAACACAGAAGCTTTCAAAATCTGTCTGGTTCCAGCGGGGTTTCAGCCTAGATGGCACCATTTCCCAGCAAGGACTGAAATGACGCGTCTCAGTGCCAAACACGTTTTCTGAGTGGCTGTATGTACCGTAGACATGCATGTTCCAAAGCCTTTGGATGGGAGCGCATAAAATCCAACTACCTTACAAATTTAACCTGTAATTGCAAAGCAATCAGAAGAAAGGAACCTCTCCTTGTAGCGGTATGTGTGCTGGCAATGATGAGAAATGAGACAGTGTGCTCCCTTTAGCCACTGGAGAAGTATTCCAAAGTATTTATGTTACTATTATTGCATTAGAAGAGAATTGTGCTCTCTCTTAGCTCAGCACCAGGCTCCCCCTCTGCTCAGGCACCTTCTCTCACCTGATTCTTTGTGACTTTTGGGAAGAGCTGAGTTAGTTTGGTTTAATAGGAATCTCGTGCCTCTCAGTGGTAGCCTCAGATCATGCTTTCTTCAGCTGACACTTCAGCAGCTGATGCGATTAATCCACTGATATTTGTAACCCACAGTGGTGACCACCGTCCCCCCATACCTACCCAGGCACCACCAGCTTTCTCTGAGGCAACAGCAGAGCCAGAGACACTCCTGTCTCGTCCTTGTTAATCTTCCTGGCAGCATGCTCAGGCTCTGGGGAGGCCACAGAAATGTGCATGTTTTTAACTGCGTTTGATAAGCATCGATTTTAAATTGGGTTTTGTTGGGGAAAAGGACAGAAGGGTACCTGTAATCACGCAAAAACCAGGAGCATTGGTTTAACGCGGTACTCGAATGCTTCTAAATACAGTTGGAAAGAAAGAGTCTCTCACTGAAAATGTCACCCTCAGCTTCAGTCAGAACAGTTTTAATACGCAGCTGGTAACCTTTTTTCCTGTAAAATGAGCTCTCATTACAGTAACCTGCAAGGCATGGTTTTCTGGGCAAGCACCGACAGAAGTTTCGTTTCATTAATGGGGCAGTTTATTGCTGGATATTATTATGCCAAGAGCCTCCACAAACTTTGCAGAAATCCTTATTTCATTTTCAGGAAGGATTATCATTGTGGGAAATGAAGAGCTTAAGTCTTCATATAAATTATTATTTATTAGGTGGAAACTGTTCATGAATTGGCTTTTTAAGGGTTTCAGCAGAGAGCAGATTCAGGAAGAATGAGGTTTCCTCAAAAAAATATTCAGCTCTCTGCATCCAATGCCTCATCTGTCCCCACAAAAGCAAATGACCTTTCTGCAATGCTTCTTCAGCCTCTTCTCACTGACATCCTCCGATGAGTTGGAGGTGACAGTCCCAGTTAGTGAATCAGAGCTTCTTCTCCAGGGCTGGTGACATCAAACTCCAACAAGGTCTCATACACCTGTGAGCCAAACAATCCGTCCCACCCAGCCACCCTGCACCTCGATGGTGCTCGCTCTGGGTGCTGCAGCTCTCCGGACGTGAAACCCAGGACCAATGTGCAATGCCCAGACAGCTGCAGAGGATGCTGATACACCGGCTCCATGTGAGGCCATGGGGAGTCTTGGGCCAAAAGACAGACAGGTGGTGAGTCAGTGAAGATAAAGCAGGAGACCACAAGAGGGCCGTTGTATTATTTAATGGAGCTGGGATAAAACATTTCCAAATCAACCATCTGTGCACGTTTGCAGAGAGAGGGCTGTGATTTATTGCCGCTGTGTCATGCTCAGCACACAGGGGCTGGCCAGGCCGGATGACCCAGAGCTGTGGCCGTTCACAGGACAAGTCAATACATCGTATTGCAGAAGATTTACTCTGTCCCCTGGGCTGGAGAAATTTTCAGGAAACAGCAGGTCCGTAAGGAGATTTGTTCTCCAGAGAACCTGCACTCTCTGCAAGTGGATGGATTTTCAGAGAACCCCAGACCAGCTGAGGCTGGTGGGGATCTCTGGAGCTTACCCAGTCCAAGTCCAGCTTGGAGCAGGGCCAGCCAGAGCTGGATGCTCTGGGCCACAGCCCGCCACTCTCACCACACACCCAGACTGGGCATGGGGGGATAAACCGTGCAGGTGGGTGACCCCAGGGAAGCTGTGCCTGCTCACAGTTTTCGCCATGTGCTGTGAGCAAGGCAGGAGCCTGGGACTGGGGGAAGGGGAGCTGGGAGTGTGTGAGGAACAAGGCTGGGTGCTGCTGCCCTGCTCTGCTCCCGTCTCCTTGCATTGGTATCTGTCTCCACTCACCCACGTTTCCCTGCAGCAATGAAGAGCAGCAGGTTTCACCCCAACACCAGCTCGTCCCCAAGTGCCACAGCCACAGTGTCTCGGGGCTGGGCTAACAATGGGCACTGACTGCTCTCCCACCAGTGTCTGGTGAGGGGTCCCGATGCCCTCAGTGTCCCTGTTCCCCTGTGAATCCCACCCACCATAATGAAACTTGACATACAGAGATAACATAAAAGCTGCCTTGGCTGGTACCAGGCTGGGGGTGTCAGTCATCTGCCACCCAGCTTACAAAAACGTTGCTTGCTCTTCATTTTGTCCATCATTTTTAGAGGCCGTGAGAGGAGAGCAGCAGGGACACCAGCACCATCTCCAACTTAGCTCCGATACCACATGGTGCAGCTGCCTCCTCTCCTGCCCCTCAGCCATCCTGGGGGCTATGGGTACCCTGAACACCAGGAGAGGGTGCAGGAGAAGCCACGTA